AGGTTAAAGAAATAGTATTGGGAGCTTCAAGTCTCAAACATTTGGAATATGGACTTACAACTTTTTGAATGACAAAGATGCTAGCGCTTCYAAAGGCTAACGGGAGGCCAACACAAATTTTGTGTCACTGAAATGACTTCATTCACACAAAATATTGACTGTCCCATGCTCAGCACAACAGCAAAAAACCTCTGTCTCCCAGCTAGCTCAGATTCGAACTGCAACTCAGAACCTTCTATGCAGGTGTTAGAGGCACTCCCAGTGTTTATGCAGAATATACTTTAAGTCATTTTAATGGAAAAAAAAATCCAAGTTAGTCAGAAATCTTCTGCTCCTCTAACCAAGAGGCAGGCCACCACCTACTCATTTAACTCTTTTAAATCAATATATTACTTTGGGGAGGTACTAATGCTCTTTCCAAAGCTGCCAAACACAATGACAGAAGCAAGAAACCCTACTTGCAATGCCTTGCAAGGACAGTTTTAGAAAACAAAACAACACAAACAGTGAAAACTTATCACAGGAAGAATTTATGTTGGAAGGGGACTCTGGGTCTATCCCTTGTTCAAAGAAGGTCTAACTTCGGTGAACTCTTAACATCTCTAAGCACAGAGATSCATAATCTCTCTGGACACTCAAGGGTCTACAAGGGTCTGACCATCCTCACGGTGAAGAAATCTTTCCTTATACTCACCTGAATTTTTCCTGTTTCAGTGTGGAACAGTTTTGTCCCATCCTTAACGAAACACCTGGCTCCACCTTTTCTATAACTCACAAGGTTATTGAAAATAGCAAGTAGGTGCCCCTTGGCCATCTTTCCTCCACCTTCCTCCGCCTCTCCTCATACACCACATGCTCCAGCCCACTATTCTTGGTAGCCCCTTGCTGCATTGACTCCCGTTTTGCAGAATCCAGACCRGTTACTATTAGAAGGTGATCCCCTCCAAGAATCATCTGGTCCACACCCCTGCTCAAGCAGGGTCACTGAGAACACATTCTCTAGGACTGTGACCAGACGGCTTTTGATCTCTCCAGGGATGCTTGCCAGTCTCCATCCTCCACCGCAAAGCSCCAAGCTGTATGCAGTTTTCTAGCTGCAGTTTCACAGCTGCCAAGGAGATGGTAACAAACATTGTCCCCAGCCTGCTGGCTCTGCACTTGCTAACACAGCCCCATCCGCTCTGCAAAGGCACTGCTGACTCACCTTCAACTTGTCCGTCCTCGTGCATCCTGGCAGACAAGTCATGCTGCACTCCAGCAAGTTTCAGGGTGGTTCAAGTCCTCCATGAGAGCCAGGTCCCACAATCAGCATGTTTCCACTAGTCACCTAAAGCAAGCTTTGCCTGCTTCCTCATCTTGGTGGGGCCTGTCTGCTGCAGACACCCACTGTGACATCCCCCTCACTGTTCTTCCTTCTAAACCTGACCCATAAGCTCGCCAGGCCTGCCGCCCTTTCCAAAACAGAGCTCTGGGCACTCCTGCCACTCCTTTGCAGAAAGTGCAACTTCTCCATCTGCCCTACTTGGCCCTCCTACAGGGCACACAGCCATCCACTGCAGCACCTGCACTGAGCAAGCTTTCTGGCTGCATTTCTGTAATCCCAGGGAGCTCTCAGCCTCCCAAGTGCACAGAGACTTCTGATCTCCCCTGGACATTCCTCATGGGGGCTGTGTTTGCACACCCCACACCTGACTCAGGCTTTGGTCATCCCATGTCCCCAAGGGCACTGCTGGGTTCTCCCGTGTGACTCCCCCACTCTGCCTCTCCACTTATCAGCCACAAAAGCAGTTGGGTTAATCTGTGACTAAATAAAGCACTGTAAAGACTCAAGTCTGCCCACACTAGTAGCAACAAGTTGTTGTTTGGGGTTCTATTTTTTTGCTTTGTTTTTCATTTTTTAAGCAAGCTCCTACTTTATTTCTCCGTCAAGACCATGATTCATCAAAATGTTCTACATGCAGAGAAATTTACACTGCCATCCTCTTCAACTAAAGCTCCCTAACCTAATTAAGAAATTCCAGAAATCTCTCATTTTCTGACTCTGCTAAAGACTGGACTGGTTTCTATAATATGCCCCTTGTGCAGCATATCTAAGCAAGGCTTAGGAATACAGCTCAGTGTAGGCTTGACTCAGCACAAATCATATTCAGGCAGAGACTGCAGGTTCTCCAGAACCCACTTTTTTTTTTTTTTTTTTGCTATAAGCCATAAATATATAAGAAGATCAGTCATGGGACATATAGAGGGCTAAAAAGGTTAGTTGGAATCTTAAATGTATGCTGTGTACAAATTCAGAAAAAGATTTCTTCCAAAAATAGGGGGGAAAAAAAAAAAGGGAAGAAAAATAGAAAAAGAAAAAAAGAGAGGCATCAGGTGAGCATAAGTTTTCTGCCAAGAGAACAACAAAATAAGAATTCAACCACATTCCTCAGACTCCCAATATCTGAAAAATAAACATAATGAAGTTGCTTGCTGTATTTTACTCAATCATGTYGCCCAATTAATATATTTATTTCCACTTACTGTCCCTGCAACTACTGCTTAATTTCTGAAATATGCTGACAAGGCAACAATCAAGAACCTCAGGTACCTACCTGCCTTTTGAAGTCACTCCATGGGAGAGGGCAGGGCTGTATCTTGTATACTTATGACTGATAATTATTTTTTCAACCACAGAAAACCAGCCAGGCATGGGCAGAACCCCATGTCTTTCAAGACAGACAGGTATCAGAAACCCCTATTTTCTTTGCTCTCATTAGCAGCTGCTCTATTAGGTAAACATTATTTTATCTGAAGCATATGTACTGTGCATATAAATTTGTATTGCTCCTGTATCTTGCATCTATAGCTAATGTGGAATACTGACATGTTACAAATACAGATGAATGAAACAGTATCAACACATTGCTGGTACAACTGTGTAAAGAAATTCCCATTTAGCTCCAAAAGGTGACTTGCACCATCTACAGGTCGCACAGGGTTGCATGATTCTTATTGTTAAATTCTTTGTTAAGGGAATTTAAGTCAAAATATTTCCTGCACAAGCACAATTGTCACATAACATTAGTCAAAATCTAGATTCTTTAGCCTAGTTTGATGAGATATTTGCACTGACTGGTGCTGGATGAAGTGCAACTGCTTTAATGTGGCACACTTCAAGCTAATAAATAAGTGACCCATCCCAATAACAAGGAGAGATTTGCTTTTCTGGCAGCAGGGACAAGAGTCCAGATATTTCCTTTTCAAAGTATCTATAAACTCTGAATTAACGTGCTTCTAAATTCTTAAATCAGCCACAATTTATATAACAGCGTACAGAGAAGAAGTTGGCAATTCAAATATCTTTCAAAAGATTTGCAATCTGTCAATGCATCTCACCAGCTCCAATAACAACTTGCTTCACTATGCCTGTCCTTTCAGATTAAAAGGAACAGTCTTCTACACTTTGAATGAATAGTATTAAGATTGTGATAGGTTATAAGCAGCTTGTAAGTGAAATACATCGCTTTTATCCCCAAACCAAAGAACTAAATTAATCAAAGCAGTACTTGAGAGTCAGATGCCCTTAGATGAAAATCAGATGAAAAGTCAAAAAAAAAAAAAAGTATAGAATTTGAGTACATAGAATATAGTGTATAGAATTTGTATGGATTAAAACAACCTACTTTTAACAAATTACAATCCCTATGATTTTACAGTTGGACCAAATACAGACTACCAATGATCGTGCTTTCACAGTCCTAACAGCTGGATGCAGTGACTTCAAAAACACTTCATTATAACCTTAAATTATTTACTGTCTTTCTTTGAATACAGCTTTTCCCTTAATACAATCAGTATTAATAATATTTTAARGGTACTTTGAGCAACTTACTTGGCACCATTCTGCAAATGGTTAGAAAAACAAACAAAAACAAACGAACAAAAAAGAGGTAGAAAAAAGCAATCTGCAGAAATCTACAGAGAATCYACTTGTTGCATATAAATAAAGTATGAAGGTCAAATCATCATTTTGGCATTGCTATCTGTGTTCATGTCCTACAGCACGTGAAAAATGAGCCTTAGAGAAGCTTTCAAAGTTAAATTGCATTTTCTGGATTTTTCTGCTTTGTTAAGATGTACCTTAACATACATTTTTCAAGGTACTAACCTGACATTCACCTGAGTTTGCRTGCAGTCTGGTTTTAGGTGATAAGAGGATAGTTGCATTTTAATTTAAGGTATTCTTTGAGTGTCACATTTATTTGCATGGTGAATATAGCTAAGAAACACACACACACACACACACACACACACATCCCACGTAAGGAATATCTAAAGACCATACTCCTTTCTGTGAAACTAAGAACTATCTGCACATTTTCTGTAGAAATCTGCAAGATTCTGTAAAGCCTCTTATCAACCGATACTGCTGGCTGTTAGCAGGGCAGACTCATTGTGACAGGCAGTATGAAAGACAACAAAAGATAAAGATGAGACTATTTGGGTTACTACCTCAAGGCAAGTTATGGCAAGAGCACCAGCCGCAACCAAAGGCAGCTTGTTTCTGGCAGCACAATGAAGTTACTACCACTTTTTTTTTTCCCTCTCATTTTTTTCTTTCTTTAGTTTACTCTTGATAAACTAAAAGTGGCTTCAAGATACAAYTGCACAGAATGAGTATTTGCAGTATGGAAAATAATTAGAAAATGGCTGATAAACTGCCTTAGCCTGCAGCGTACACTATTTGTCCATATGCATATATCATATCCTCTACCTTTTAAAGGTCATAATTGTTAAGGTATTTAACCTAACAACTAACCTGCCAATTTGCATTTCACAGAGCAAAAGACTGTCTTGTTTAACTGCAGTATACTACAGGATAGCACATAAAACTCCAGTCACATTTATAAGACAGCAAGAAACCAGTTTTACAGTTCTTTATTGAGTGTCTTGCTTGAGGAAAAAAAAGCTAAAATASTTACCAAGTTGCAGATGTCTATCGAACATATAACACTCACCTTTCTTCAATTCTATTCTTGTCCATAAGTGGCTGTTTGATCCACTGATTAACTAGCCTTTGTCCTTGAGGAGTTCTGCATTTATTTAGTAAGCCAGCTAGTGACTGTGCAGTATTAGCATTCTCCAAAGAACTCTGGAAGGGAAAAACAGAGTTAGTGAAGATTACTGGCACCCACTGAATGGCACTCAACTTGGTCACCTAAGAACAGGTGAGTGTCTTTTCCAAGTTCACTTGGCATCCATGAAAAAGACAARTTAAACAGCGTAGCACTGAAGCAATTAAATTACAGTTTCAGGAACAGAGCAAGCAAGGAACAGGTTCATCTATTTTGCTACTAGCTGGCTGAGTTTGAAAACAAACAAACAAAAAGATCCAAAAGGTGGAAATGTAGATTAAATACATCTACATTAAATAGACTGTACTTTGTAAGGTTGAAGAGTCCTGACCATAAGAAAGGAGAAGGAAAAAAAAAAAAAAAAAAAAATCACCATTAACGATGGTGTGAGGTGTTCTGATTGGATTGTCAGGCTGTTACTTATCAAACAGCTAAACAAGTACATTGCAAAATGCTTTTCAGTTAAAGCATCTATTTCTTACCTGGAAAAGGTTGAGGGCCTGGACAGCTGCATTATCAAGAACCATATATTGACTAAGATCAAAAGTAGTCAGTTCAAATTGTCCAAAATTAGACTCATCTGACAGCAACTCTAAAAACTTGATAATGGCTGACAAAGATGAAATGGCCACCTGAAGTTTAAAAAAAAAAGTTGTAGTTATTCTTATTAGAAATACTCTTGAATCACAGAGCAATTGATAAATACACCTACAAAATTAAAAACAAAAAGAACATAATCAGAAAAGGTCTCCGAGTCACCTCCCTGCTGAACTGCCCTACAGGACTTACCTCATTTGACAGGACTCTTCTTCCCAGGCACATTCTAGGGCACTGCACCTTCTTTCTAGGTAGGCGCAAGAACAACAAACTAGACATCTGCATGATCTGATAAATAAAGTAAGATGTGAAGCACACACCCTTCCACTTTCCAAAGCTGATATCAATAKGTTTCAGGCTAAGGAACTCAAACAAGCTCTTGCAGATAAATGACATCTGAGGCCATGGTTTCAGGGTTAGCTTTCAACCAGAGCAAGGATCTGATCTGGCTCACCGAGTGGTTTTACAAATGCTAGTGACAGCACAAAAGCATGACTCACTTGTTTAGTGGTAACAGCCTTCAAATAACTTAAACCTGTTATGGAATCATACGTTAAAGGTGAATAACTCAGCTGGTGCTCATTGCAAATGCAAGGTACAACAAYGAACATTTAAAAACAAATTAAAACATTATCTCAAGTAAATTACCTCTTATTTACAGCTGGCCAAGAACAAATATGTTCATTTGACATGCAGGTACTAAATCATGTTTGAAACATAAAAATGACACAAACTCTCCCCCCCAAAATACTACCATAAAGAGTACTTTATTTCTATTTATRATACTCTCTCTCCATCGCAAAATAATTCAAGAATGGCATTTAAGTCTTCAGGACAGATGAATTATGAACAGACAGTATCTCCTGCATACAGTCAGTTTGCTTACCACAGTTCAGTATGTTGAAGAAATAATCAAAGTTTTTTTTTAATTATTTTTTTTTTTTCGCCAGATGCCCCATGGATCCTACTTCAATATAACAATTCAAACGCAGCAGAACTGCTAAACACCTCAGCAAGAATTTACCTGGATAAACTATGGGCTATACAGCATGCTTGCACAGAAATGTGGGAATATAACATAAAAAAGGACTAGGAAGGASAGAGAATAGCAGAGGAGAACACCCCACTCCACATCTGAAACAAAAAGAAAACACAGGCCCATCAAACAGCGCTATGCACAAACCTGTTTTTCCATCTCCGGCAAYGCTGCACTGTTCATTTGTTCTTCTTTCTTTGATTTTAATAAGCGATTCAGATCCTGAACAATATCTTTTGTTGTGAACTCTGCCTTCTTTCTGTCTGTAATCAGAATTCCTCCTCTCTGAATGACCTGTTGTGCATAAAGAGTTATCAGTTACTTTCAGTTTTCAGGGGACTCGCATTCATCCCTYGTAAGCAAACCCCAAAGACACACATCTACTTATGGCGAGGTTGCACAGAGAACAGACAGGATTTTAGCCATATCACATATTTTTCTGATGAAAATGGAAGTGAGTCAACAGAAAAATAATGCATTTTGGATGCATAGACCAAATTTCTATAAGTAAACAGATTACTCTCTTATTTCTACAAATCACAGAGCGCAGCTAAAAAGCAGGATACAGCTTTTCAGATAAGGCTTTCCCACAGGTAATTCTCTTACTTGTCGCAGCTTTCCCATCTCTCCAGCAGTCTCTCCTCCTGGGAGCACACACTCCTTAGGTCCTAATTGAACCAGCAGAGCTTCGAGGTTTGAGAACTGATCGTTATCTGGAAACTCACAGACGCTCAGTTTTCTCAGTGTAGTATCCACATACCCCACTCCAACTACTCTTTGTCCATCAGTAGTAGAGAGCTTCACACCCACAACTCCAATGGCCGTGGACATATCATTGTTGGCAAAAAGAACTTCCTCAAACTGGGCAAGATTTCCTGGAGAGCCCTATTTAGGAGAGAAATGTAGCAAATATACACCTGTTCTAGTAATTTAAAAAACAAGTTTATTAATATTATCCATATCACCTGCATAAACTATCTCAGGCTTCCTTAATCTCCCAAGCCTATGGCAAACATAAGACAAGCTCCTCCTGTTTCAATTGCCACTGTCAATCCCTGAAAAAAATCACTGAGACACAGACTGAGGAAAACTGCACCTTGTATGCCAGATACCAGTCGTTTTCTTTGGTAGATTTGCTCCCTGCTTTGTTCTTGTAGACTTCAACTCTGTAATGACGAACCAGAAGCAGATCCCTCACAAAAGATTCAAAATTCATTTTACTAAGCACAACACTCTCCAATTTCTGATTTCCTACAGGGGAAGAAAAAAGTAACATTGTAACTGAAATCCACAGGATATAGAGTTAATAGTTTACAGGAAGGATGTTATTCTGGCAGTGAATACAGCAAGCATGCAAAATCCACGAAACAAGACAAAAATCACAACACTCAATATTAAGAAAGCTCACACCATACCCAAACAAAAAGTGATGTTCATTATTTAAATTCAAATTTTCACTGGTTTATACATGTGCGTATGTAAAAAGATTTGTTGCTATCATCCTTCTTGTCTCGGAGCACTCCTGATCTTTCTGATTCATCTTTCACACCTTTTAATCGAGTGAACGGTGGAAACAAACGACATGATTTTCCTCTTGATAACCTGCTTGCTTTCCTGGATAAGCTACTTGCGTTAAATAATGCACAAAGCAGTCTGTCATACAAAGACATCTAAGACACATATGCCAACACTTCTTCCTATTGCCACAGAAAATAATATATTCTGTAAACTTAGCTAATCACAAGAAAGTTTACCTTAAAACCCAATTCAATGAGTGTATAGCTGGCAAACTTCTTACTTTTGCATCTATGCTGACTTTCAGTTGCATATTCTAGATAACACTACAAATTGCAGTATTTTAACACTGGAGCTGATAATCACAGGTTTACATCTGCCAAGCAGTTACTTTTGAACAGAATTCAGGAACTAGATCAATGCCTGTGTTTCTAGTCTGTAAGGTATCATTTCAAGTCATAGGCATGGAAGTATCCTGCTCTGTAAGTTCTCCACAAAATATTTTTTCAGTTAGTTGCCCATCAATTGCACTAGAAGACAAAAAGCATGAAAGCACCATTCCCTTTCTAGCACCGGTGCATAAGAGCTGCCTTTCATTACAAACAGGCTTCAATCAGGTTTACTTTGCCAACAACTGCGCAGTTACTTCCTTGTGACAAAGAATAATACTAAGGTTTGCACCTTCTGGAAAAAAAAAAAGGTATCTTAATGCTGACCCATCGGACGTCTGACAGCTCTACTCTCTCATACCAAGAGAGAAATAAAAAGCAAAAGAGAAAGGGAAGAAAAAGCCCTAGGCATTACATAATTATGTAATTCATTGCTGCAGGCCAACATGAGTCAAGCAGCTAATAATGGAAACTCCACACATTTACATTTTACCATTATGCATCTGCCATCTACTCTACAGAACCATATAAATGCAGTAGCCAGTTACCATAGAGGTGTCACGCAATCCTTTCCATAGAGATGCACCAATGGTGCAGAAAGTGCTGGGGACCCCTGCTAGCGCACACAGCAATTGTGTTTCATTAGTCACGCACACCCAGTAGCTCTGCAAGCAGCAGTGTTTGTGCAGAACCATACACACGTGCTGCTGGAGATACCTTCTACATTTGTACACCGACATCCTCACAGGCACCCCTACTCAGAATAGCTACTAGTGAGGATTTCAGAGCAGCAAGAGGCTGAAAAATTAGAGATGAGCCTTTTCTGTTACACTCACTTTGAAGCAGCAATGAATCACTGCAGACCTCAAAATCCAGAACCTGTCTAGTATCTTGCTGCTCTGACAGGCAGAGGAAAGAGCAGCACGGATTTCTCCAGTTACTCTGAGCAGCGTCTCAGCAGCCCAGGGCCCCTGCGTGGCTATGGAGCTGCCTGGAGCACCAAGAGGTGAGCAGCAGCTCCCACTCCCTCACCACAAACAGGCACCGGTCTTTACGAGACATCTTATTTTAAAGGAGGCTGCAAAACGCCACATAGGAACGCGAGAAACGCGCGGCGGCCGAGGCAGCCCAGGGGAGGCCGTGCCCCCGGAGCGCCAGCGCCGCGCAGGGGCCGCTCCCGCCCGCGGCCCCC